ATATCATATATATATATGTATATCCCTTAAAAGGTGGAAAAATTGTATATGTGTATATATATATATATGTCATTTGTTCTCGCCAATTTCGACATATTCAGACGTTCACTAAAAATCGTCATGGCCTTTCGAAATGGACACTCCAGACAAGCCCAATACTCGATCGAACGAAAATAATGATGATCGTGCTCGGATCGCACGTCTCCGATCAAGGATCGATCCGATCATGGATGGGTTCGCTTGGTCCGATCGAAGGAATTCGCTGAAACGCTCAGCCCGGCCGAGTGTCGTTCGCCCAGCACACAAAAAAGCTGCCGACAGTCATTAAAAATCGCTTTGCTTACGTGGTCTACCCGTACGAATATCTAAATTACCCTGACGTGTCAATATGCACACACATGTACACGTGCAAGCTTGCATGTGTATAATACATATGTACGTTCGTGTACAAGCGTATATATGTTATGTACATCACGCGAATTTATTGCCGCCGAAACTTGGAAGAAACCCGGCCGCACGATCGGCGCGTGCACAACGCCCATCGCGTCTAAAGCCGGCTCTTTTCTCGGAGACTAACGAAATGTTTGCACTCGGAACGACGGCTAGTATCCTTCGTAGATTTCTACAGCCTCTCGACGAACCGAACAACATCTCCACTTGCTGTTTTCCTCCGGTCGTTGTCATAACGAAACTTCAAGCTTTTTTTTTTCAGAATAAAGGAGTCGAGATTTTCATAAGTTTCCGGAAAAAGGAGCTTGCGTCTGTCATCGATACAGTAGATTCTCTTCAGTTTAGAGTTAAGGATAATTCGCTGAAACTCGAGAGCGAAAGCGACGAATCGCTCGTGGAAGAATTGGAATTTTATACGGAGCTGATAAGCTGTTTTAAAAGAGCCGTTTCGAAAGAACCGGCAACAAACGAAAGAAAAAATACGTAGCCAAATTCTCAAAATCTTCACAGGGTACATTTATCAGGGTCTATTTGATCCTATAATTCCCAATACTATCTTAACAAAATTTTAGTCTCGTACGCGTTTCCATGTGAGTCAGCGTGCCAAATGAACGTGTCGATAAAACAGAAGGAACTTTTGGGAACAAGCTAACACATAATCTACTGTATCGCACTCTACACAGGACACCTCGTACACTGCTAGAACTCGTACAACCTGCCCTTCTATCTTTCCCTCTCGCGTTTCTTTCCGCCCTAACCGGCCTCGTTCTCTCCCTAATCGGTTACCGGTGCTGCTCTCCGCTGGCTCGCCGTTGCTCCTTTTCGTTTCCGTTATTAAAACTACGATTTAAGAATAAGCCACTCAGGGAAGACGATCTCGACTCGGTCGAGAAGGAACGCGCGCCGCACACCGTTTCCGCTCGCCGTTACGTTCTCGATTCAACAGATATATTCCAAACCTCTCTCGTTCACTGGCACCTCCGACGAACGACCAACAGCACCGCAACCACGATCAAAGGACGAGGAGCCGGACCGCGAATCGCCGTGGAACTTGCGCCGATGGTCGGCCTCTTCTTGCCGACTCTAACCGTGGGCACAGGACTCGCCAACGACGGATATCCTGCTCCATTGATAGCGTTGTCCACGGACAAGAGTTTGTTCTCCATCTTGTCCATCTCCGCGGAACCGTAAACGATCTCGTCCTCCTCGTCGTAGAACGACGGCCTGGCCGCCGTCTGCGTCTTGGACGGTCCCGAGATCTCTGAAACAGCCGACGGAGAGAAGCCATCGTGAAACCATCGTCGTTATATCGCGAAATTCCGACCTCCTTCTCGAATCGCCTTCTCGCTCTCGAAGGGCAGGTCTGAACCGTCGCGTTTACAACGTCTTCGTCGCGTCTTCCATCGACGTTTCGGCTAGGGAGGCGATAAATTTCAAAGTCGATTCCCTCGGTTCTTTGACGCCGCGTCCCCGGAATCATCCCGCGGTGTAAACGAGAATATACTCGTAAATCTCTGCATCAGGAAACCGTATCGATTCCCAAGACGCGAGAGCAACGCTCGTCCGCGACGATTTACCAAGGACAGAGCCGCCGACGAGATCCTCCGAGCGGAGTGCTTTCGGTCTGTGTTTCCCCCGAGTGGTCTGACCTGATTGAAAGATACCTGGGATCGTGTGCGAAAAGACGAGGATTGACCGAAAGAAGACGCTCCGTTGCCGATGGCTGGGAAAATCCTTGGAGGTTTCCGCGGCAAAGTAAGGATGCTTGTAAACGCGACCGTGTTTGCCGTGAGGTACGGCTGGTTCGCGTAGCTACAGGACGATATCGGGCTTCCAGAGGAGTCGTTCGCGCCAGGAGACGTACCGGAGCAACAATTTCCACGTGGAGCTTCCGCAAAGACTCGTTAACCTCCTGCCTTGCTATCAGCCGTGAAATAACACCGGCCGGAGACGGATTTCCGGCGTTAAGCGCAACAGCTATCAACCCGCTGAGCCCTACTCGCTTAGTTCTCCGTTTACAGCCTCCACCCGCCTCCCCTCGCCCCGATCCGCCTCGTCTCGTTATCGCGAACATACTCGAACACCGTCGATCGTCGACACTTTCACAAATTCCGTCGAATCGACGAAACGTATCGCACTCACCGTACAAACGAATACTGCTCTCCACGTCGCCCAGAGAATTCTTCGCCACGCATTTGTACGTTCCCACGTCCTGCTTCTGCAGATTACGGATCGTCAGGACCATCCGCACCTCGAACTGCGACTTCGGCACCGCGTGCACGTCGTGTTGCTGACTGGATATTATCATCGCTGTTCCAACAAAAAGTTTCGCACTGTTTACGGACTTATTCTACGCTTTTTGTGATGGGGAGGTTTGTAATTGAATGACACCGTTTGTGGACCGGTGAAGATTGTTTGGGAATTATGGGAAAAGACTACGACGGAGCGCTATAATGGACATGCATGATTAATGGAAGTAACGGTCGAGGATATGTTTGGTTAACCCTTTGCAGTCGAGAGGCGTGACTCGAGTGATTTGGAGTTGAGAGAGACTACGATACCTAATGTTTCTTTAGGTTTCATTTCGTTGAAGCTCGATAACATGATTGAACCTGAGGTAAAGGGGACCTTAGTCCCGAATCTAGGTAGCTTAGAATTTATAGCAATAGAATGCTAAGAAAGCATCTCGAGT